AAAAAAAAAAAAAAAAAAAAAAAAAAAAAAAAAAAAAAAAAAAAAGGTTTTTTAAAAATAGATTTGAGGATAAGAAATAGGGAACAGTGAAAGAGAGGCAAGATATGGGCTAGACTTAAATACATATAGCCTGTAAACAGGAACAAATGGCATAAAACATTGAACCTCACATCAAGAAACTGAGAGGTTTACAAAGCTTTGTTGTGGTAAACTTTAGAGAGGCAAAGTCTTGAAGGCTGGCAAGGGTCACCCCACAAATATGAGTTCTTCCTGAGGATCTTACGATATTTACTAGATTGGGTAGATTGTTGGGTCTGGTTTTTTCCTTTTTTTTTTTTTTTTTTTTTTTTAAAGAAGTGCTGTAGGCTGGGTGTGGTGACTCTCACCTGTAATCCCAGTAATTTGGGAGGCTGAGGTGGGCAGATGATGAGGCCAGGAGTTCAAGACCAGCCTGGCTGATATGGTGAAACCTGGTCTCTACTAAAAAATACAAAAAATTAGCCGGGCTTGGTGGCGGGCACCTATAAACGCTCTGGCCTCATCCCTCCAGTTCCATGTTGTGCTCCATGCCTTACGTATCTCCGTTTCAGTGTTGTCTGAACTAATTCCTCCTCTTCTTGTGGGTTGTCATATATTTTCAGCCCTTGTTGTTGATGTTTATGGTGTTCCCCAGGTGGTAGTGTCTCTCTCCCTTTACCCTCCTCCTTCACCCTCATGACTTCTACCCTTGTTTCAGGCCTGTGCTTCAGTAGCCACCCCTCACATCCCCACTGACCCCTCTTCAGTTTTCATGAGATCTCTTCAGATCTCTGCAAGTGGATTCAGTTTATACTTTGTTTTTCAGCCCCACAATACTTACAGAACTTACATCATTTGACCATACATTATAGTTAGTTGTGCTTGTATGACTTTCCCACCTGGATTCTCTGCAATTTGTGGTCAGAACTGTTTCTTCTCCATTTCTGATCACCTCTGCCCTGGGACAGTAGGTATATAACAAATGCTTGTTGAATAGAGCAATGAATGGATAGATGACAAAGAACAAAATAGCATATAAAGTTCCTTAATGATATATTCTCTTCAGGTCTTATCTTCTCAATTTCCTCTTCTCTACTTAATCTAGGGGGAAAACCTGAAGCATTCTTACCCACTTTTTGTGATATAAGCCTTGAATAATTGAAGATTTTTGAAAAGTTAACAAAAAGAACCTTTATACATATTATATTTTCTATTGAAAGTGAATGGTAGTCTTAAATCATATTTTGATTTCAGGTATCCTTTCATATCAGGATTTTTAAAGGGCATAATTAACAAAATTTAACAAAACACAAATTATGGAAGGACTGCCTGGCTTTTAAGTATTTTCTTGGCTATTCTTAAAGTGTGGTGTTGATTTAGGAAGGTTGTTTTTGTGTGAAGAAAGCAGCACTTTTTTTCATAGACCAGAAACTTTATAAATGAAATTCTCAGAGAATTAAATTTTTTTCTTTCTTTCTTTCTTTTTGAGACAGGGTTTTCCTCTGTCACCCAGGCTGAAGTGCAGTGGCATGAACACAGCTCACTACAGCCTCAACCTCCTGGGCTTAGGCGATCCTCCCGCCCCAACCTCCCGAGTAGCTTGGACCACAGGTACACACCACCATGCCCAGCTAATTTTTAAAACATTTTTTGTAAAGACACGGTCTCACTATGTTGCCCAAGTTGGCATCAGACTCTTAGGCTCAAGCCTCCCAAAGTACTGGGATTTACAGGCATGAACCACTGTACCCATCCTAGATCATATTTGTTTTGAATTCATGACATATTGCTTTGTGATTGCCACAAATTATGAATATTAGTACTAAAAATTTTATCAAAATAATTTAGAACATTAATTTATAAATCAATTATAAAAATGTTTATTTGTAAGACACAACTCCTGGGTAAAATATAAAACTGAGCTTTGGAAAATAAACCCCCAAAAAAGGAATATAAATTTTGATATTAGAAACAAGCAGATTCATCATATTTACTGCTCATTTGGTCCTTCTGTACTTCCTTGTATTAGGGCTTTTTGTGTATTGAGCTTGCCAGCGTGCCTGCATCCCCACATGTACCTTCTCTTTCTCTGTTCATTGTAATCTTGAAGATCAGGCACTGTATCTTTTATATCTTTGGGCATGCATATCTTTGTATTTCTTATTTTGCTAGTATGGGTACTTGTCCTAGTCTTAAATGAATGAGGTGTAAGGAGATAGGCGTTACTGTCTTTATGAGAAATGATGTTGGTCTATACCAGAGGTTGGTAAAATCTTTCTGTAAAAGTCCAAATAGTATACATTTTCACTGTTGGTGGCCTATGACCTCTGTCCGAACTACTCAACTTTGCCACTGAAGTGCAAAAGCAGCTATACATAGTACATAAATGAATAAGCATGGTTGTGTTCCAGTAAACTTTATTTTCAGAAATGGCCATAGGCAAGATTTGGCCCATAGGCTGTAGTTTTGGCCAGCCTCTGATCTAGACTCATTATCAAGATTTTGGAAGCACTAATACAGATGTTATACTAGAGGATTAATTTAGATGTAGCAATCTGGTATATATATAGTGGGATGAGGTAAGTGAGTGCATTAATAAGGACCAGTCACGAAGTCATGGTTATTTTACATGGAGCTGGAATAACAGGAATGGATACAATGGAAAAGCAAGAGGAGAAATGTGAAGATATGTGGAGATTTCAGCAGTTTTCTGTGTTAGACTTTAACCATGAGGTCACAGTACTGGCAAGCATGAGAGAAGGAAGAGTGTGAATGCTAGGACTAAGATATAGAATGAATTGCTCTCTGAAGTCAAGGGAAGAATCAGTCAGTAGTGAGTTGCATTTCCTATGGGAGAAGTGATGTGATGGGTGAAAAGGAAAAGACTTGGTAAAGAACATTCAAGGCAATGCGTTGGCACAGGTTTTTCTTTCAATAGGTTTATTTCTCTTTGGAATCATCATTAAACCATGGGTATCTTTCATCTAGCCCAACATTGGAACTTAGTATGTGTATGTTTTTCCTTCTTTTTTCTTCCCCAAACTGTTTTTTAAGAAACGAATTTTGTATATCTTTCTTGTTCAGAGTTAGCTATGCTGCTGAAACAAAAGACCCAATAATTAAACTTATTCATTCTGTTTTGTTTTTTTTAGACCAAGTCTCACTCTGTCACCCAGGCTGGGGTACAGTGGTGTGATCTCGGCTCACTGCAATCTCCACCTCCCAGGTTTAAGCAGTTGTTCTGTCTCAGTCTCCCGAGTAGCTGGGAGTACAGGCACATGCCACCACAATCAGCTAATTTTTGTATTTTTAGTGGAGACGGGGTTTCACCATATTGGTCAATCTGGTCTCCAACTCCTGACCTCAGGTGATCCATATGCCTCAGCCTCCCAAAGTGTTGGTATTACAGGTGTGAGTCACTGCCCCCAGCTATTCTTAAAGCCAGTTTTTTCCTCTTAAGGAATGGTTCTGAGATGAGCTCTACAGGTAAAGCAGTACCTCTGGTCTACACAGTCATTCAGGGACCTAAGCTGACCTGTTCCTTTGTCATCTTCTACATGTGACTTACAAAGTCAAAAGTGCACAGAGGATTTTTCAGTCTTGCAAGATGTTATGGGCTAGGCCTGGAGTGTTACATATCACTGTGTTCATGTTCCATTGAAAATATATATATGTTTTTTGAGACAGGGTCTCACTCTGTTTGTTGCCCAAGCTGGAGTACAATGTTCCGATCTCAGCTCACTGCAACCTCCACCTCTCAGGTTCAAGTGATTCTCCTGCCTCAGCCTCCTGAACAGCTGGGATTACAGGTGCATGCCATCACACCCAATTAATTTTTATATTTTTAGTAGAGACAGGGTTTCACCATGTTAATCAGGCTACTCTCGAACGCCTGACCTTGTGATCCACCTGCCTCAGTCTCCCAAAGTGCTGGGATTATAGGCATGAGCCACAATGCTGGGTTTCCATTGAATATTTTATTGAATGTATCACATGGCCATATTTAACTTCAAGAGGGTTGAGATTATGTAGTCCTGGCCAGGAACCACATTCTAGCTAAAACTTGATTTCTGTGGGAAAAGGAAGAATGGTTTCTAGCAGATGTTTAACTCTACCTGCCACAGTCCCCTTCTCCAGAAACAGAGTAGTTTTGTTTTGGGGGTCACTGAATTTCCAAGGCACTACTGAGCATCAATTGTAAGTATTCCTCAGCAATAGATATTTACAGGAAAACTTTATTTCTCTCTGAGGAACTTAAAAAGCAATTTGAGCTAGAACAGGAACATTTTACACCTTATCGGGTTCATTATAAGCTGCCCTCCAGGCTGTACCATAATAGAAAAGGATGTAGTCTTGTACACTTATACAGTAAGCTAAGGAGGAGCAAAAAAATGCATTCTAATGGTTAAATTAGAATTTGAGGCCAGAACTCAAGTTTATGCAATGACATCTGATAAGAAAGAAAATAAATATAGCTGAGAAAAGATGCTGATGATATGGTTTTTGGGAGGACTTACTTTAGAGGAATTCTGGTGATTAATAGCTAAATGAGCAATAATAAAAGTTATTAAAAGTATTATGCATATCTGATATGAATTTTAGTGGCATTTTTGTAGACTAGCTTGTCATAAATATGTTCTAAAAACAGGAAATCTTATTTAGGATAGTTGAAAGATGTTAACTATCTTATAATAAAATGTATCTTAGTTTGTAATATCATATGGAGACTAATTTACTCTAGTTCAGGGTATATTTAGAAAGAGATTTATTAGCATGACTTTGTATAATGTTTTATTATGTTACTTAATCACATCACTTTTTATACACATGGTTTTTAAATTTTAATTTGTCAGATTTGGATGTCATTGATCAGTTTCAGATGCATAACTGAGATATTAGAAATATTTTTCTTTTCATGGTTTTTCATACTATTGCAGTATAATCACTTTTATTTAATGAAATGGCTAGATTGCTATAGCTACATATATATTTCTTGAACTAGTCATTCTGCGTATTGTCTGTGGAACATTTGTAAGACTTCAATTAATGAGTTGTCCAAAGTGCTATTTATAATGTGAGCATATGTATGTAGTATTAGAAGTATTGAATACTATTATTACTGATAATAAACATTATGAACTGTACCTGTGCCCAGCAATGTCAAAACATAAAATATCATTGTAGGTCCTGTAGAATTGTCTTTTTCTGGAGTCTTATTATTCTCATCCCACACTGCACCAGACTAATCTGGGCTCAGTAAGCACATATTAACTGTTGCTTTAAGAGTAGTAGGAACAAAACCAATTTAACAATGCTAGGAAAAGGTTGTTTCTCTAATGAAGAGAAAAAGTATGTATAGGG